AGACATATAGAAATTTACAAGGGAAGGGGAACATAATTTTCTGTGGTGGGGACATTTCTTTCTCGTACAATCAATTCTCAGAATGTAGCCTATTTGTGACAGACATAGAGGTTATACTATGCAGGTGAAGTTACTGTGCACACACTTGGGCCTTTTGACACGTGGGCAGTTTTGAAAAACTGGGCTGTGTTATTTATTATCGACTATTGCCAGTGAGTCAGCAGCAGTCAGAGTTGATGGATATCTGGACTCCAAGTCACTCCGCAGCTAAATGTTTGATTTGCATTGTGCCCGAGCTTTCAAGAGCTGCAGAAGATTTTAGCACCTAGAGGATAAATCCGGCTATGGATTTATGTGTTTGTTGCTATGGTAATTTATATTGGCATTGGTTTAATAACCTCATCAAACTTGGGCATTTCGAAACAATGCAGCAACTCTGCATAATTTAACAACAAAACTGCTCAGAAGAACTTGAAAATCCATTTGAAACATTCCAGAAAAAAATTAAAAGCAGGCAGAAACAAATCATTTCGAGGCCGAGATGTGTAAATACTTAAACCATGAGAGTGGACAGTCCCTGAAAATGATTTTGTGAATGGAAGCATTACTTCTGATAAGTGATGCAAAACTATGGTTATTTGTTAAAGAAATACCTTTGAGTCAAGACAGATTCCCTCTCACCTTCAAGTTGGCAAAGGGGAACACATACTTACTGATTATTAGGGCGCATGGCAGGAAGAACTTTTTCGCAGGCTTCAGTGATATGTTTATAAAAATCACTGACCACAAGACTGTGGAACATTAGTTTTTGGCATAGATACTGATATTTAAAGATTTGATTACTACAGACTGAATCTGTGCCAGGGGGTTAAATTGGAAATGGTGTTAGTCCCGATCACATGATTAAATTATTTGTATTCCTATATATTCTTGATTTAAATGTATTTTGTTAGAAAAACAACATCAGTGTTTTCCCCTTGTGTGTCATTTTTAACTGGAATGAACAGCATAGTTCATATTTGTCATTATTCTGACTATATCCTAATGCTGTCGGTCAAAGGGAAGTATGTTTATATAATCAAGGAAAGCCTTGGTCAACTTTGGGTTGAAATGAATTTCAGATTTGGGAGAGATGCCAGCCCTGTATCATGCTGTGAACATGTTCCTCAAATTGCATGTTACCATCCAGGCCTATATAATAGGTCATCGGGGAGCTCCTTCATGCAAGTATCATATTTTGTTTTCAGAGTTGAGCCTAAAAGATGCTTTTGTAATGAATGCATAGATAAAACCTTTCATGCTAATATTTCCACTCTACCACACATTAAACCCTGCCTTGTGTTTGAGTGCATTGTGTGAGCATTTTTATCCTTTTAGATCCTGAACACCTGTAAAAATAGCTGTTGCTCACCTCTTGCCTCCCAGTAACCTAGCCCGACTCTTCATTGCGCATAGTAGGCTCTCCGTCAACACTTTTGAAATCATGTTTTGGGATTCTAAGCCTCTTGGGGTTTCAAGAAGTAATTACGTGGGGCATAATTTCTTTTAAAAACGTACTTAATGTTGTTCTTAGATATGAATTGAATGCCTTTTCTTCAGGAGATGTTGTGAATAAACATGATAGGAGAACATGTCTTAAAATCTTGAACATGTGGGAACTTCCATGCTCATCCAATTATTTAAATTTCTGGAGTGTGAGAGAGGCATGTTAAATATTAGCTCAATAAATCCTTTGTTGTACCAACTGTATTAAGAATAAGCACAAATGAGGGACACATTTCTAAGAGTTACTGGCTAGCCCCTTCCCTGATACTCACGATGAAGGATGAACAGGGTAGGGGGTTTTCTGGTTGGGTCTTCAAGTAACTGAAACCCCATGGGCTTGTTTTAAGCTTAACTAGCCCTGCATAACATGTGTGTTATGTGTTCATCAAGGGTCCTGTGACCTGCCCTGCATGGTTAGAAGTGTTGAGGGCATGGCACTGTGTGTTTGTACTGCACTGTTTTTGATTATTCCCTTTGCCTTTTGCCTCGAGGCCTCCAGAGAGTCTCCTGCCTCATGCTTTGCGGGGCATGTGGCAGGTGCAGTGAGGCTGGCCTGGTGTTAAGATGAGCAGATCAAGGTGAGGGCTTAGGTCAGGGCTGGGCCCATCAGAATCTCTTCCTGGGAATCTAGACTTTGGGTGAACATTTTATTAATATGCTCAGTCTCTGTTGGACAATCGCAAGGGATAGAGTGGTGAAGTCAGGCTGGAGGTGGCCAAGGCATACGTGATGGGGTCAGAGAAAGCTCATTTGCACAGAGAGAAAAGAATGAAGAGGATAGTGAGACGGAAGCAGGGGAAGAAAGAGATCAGGGGCCCCCAGAAACAAGGTTGGAGAGAAGACCTGTTTTATTTATTGGAAATTGTCACTTTCTAAATCCAGGCTCTTGTGAGGTCCTGTTGCACTTTAATTTTTATGATGTGTGATACACTCTTTCATCTTTCTAATGAGCCCCCTAGTTACCTCAGCAAGCCAAAGCAGGTTCTGTTCCTTGGAAAAAACAAACAAACAAACAAAAAAAAACCAAAAACGAAAAAACAACAACACCAGGCCACCAGTGAAATAAATTTCTAAGATAAACCTCTGCAGCCTGTCTCTTTCCTCCTCAATGGGCCTCATATGAACTCTGGTACCCTCTCATGGATTCTTTCTGCAAGAGAAAAATCTCAAGCTGTCTGCCTGTCTGATTTTGAAAGCTGGTGCTCTGGGATCCCGGTTTTAGAAGTCCTCTATCCAGAGGAACTGAATGCTTTCTGTTTGGTTGCTTGCTAATGGCAGGGCATATTCAACAGATACACAGATGGCCACCCACTTATGATGGTTGAACTTGTGATTTTTCAAATTTACAATGGTTAAAAAATATGATATGTATTCAGTAGAAACCATACTTTGAGTACTCATACAACCATTCTATTTTTCACTGTCAGTATTCAATACATTTCATGAGATATTCAACACTTCATTATAACATGGGCTTTGTGCTAGATGACGTTGTCCAACTGTAGGCTAATATAAGTAGTCTGAGCACATGTAAAGTAGGCTAGGCTATGCCATGATGTTCTGCAGGTGAGGTATCTTGAATGAATTTTCTACTTTAATGGGATTATTGGGACGTAGCCCCATGGTAAGTCAAGGAGCATCTGTACTCAACTGATCACCAGGCGACCCATCTTCTAGCACACTCATGAATGAGACACATATGTGCTTACTTATTGGAAAGCAGGGCACATACTGATTAGAACACAAGAGTCTGCTTCATGATTGGGGTTAATCATGTTAGCATCATAACATATAATAAAATATCCCTGTGGTTTTATCCATATTTAACGTTCTTTTAATAACATGTTTTGTTATTTTATAAACATGGCTGTATAGAATTTTTCGCTAAGAGTATGGATGCTGGAACTGCCCGGGTTTGATTTCCAGATCTGCCATTTAGTAATTGTGACCTGGGCAAGGCAAGTCGCTTATTTAACCCATGTCTCAGTTTCCCAATCTGCAAAACAGGAGAATAACATCTACCCACATGGTTTTGTTGTTGTTGATTTTATTTTACATTTAAATGAGTTATTATATCTGAAGCATACCAAACACTGCATGCCCTGTAGTCAGCATTTCAATAGCGTCAACTCTCATTGTTGTCAGGTTAAAGGAAAGTCACACAGCTAGTAAATGGCAGGTTCAGATAAACAATTCAACCACAATAATCCTTTGCACTTTTTATTGCACTGTAGAAATATCCAAGAACTCTCATATTCATTAATTCCTTGCAGGCTCCAACAGAGTTTGGCTATGGGATTAAGCTCCATATTACAGTTGAGAATATGGAAATTCAAAGAAATAAAGAGATTGCTTAAGCGTATACAGATAGTAAACATCGAAGATCTTTAAGTTCTGGTTTTCAGTCTCCTAGTGCAATGTCGATTCTTCCTAACCATATGTGTGTATTAGAAGGACGTCAACTTTGTTTCTTAATAAAAGTTTATAAAAGGCGGGGGGGGGTACTCTTTTATTTGAGCATTCCAGCTAACTTTAACTGAAATTCTCAGAAAAGGATGTGTTCTGTTGAACTGAGAATCGATTTGACAGAAAAGGCCTCCGTTTTTAGTCCTTAATGAAGTGAAGTTTATATTAGATTAGTCGATTTCTTTCCGGTGAGGGAGAACGACCAGGCGACAAGCTCCACGCGGCCGCCATGTTCTCCTCCAGCACTCGCGATGGGACCAGGACGATCTCGCGCAGGCGCAGAGCCGAAGCCAAGGTGGCGGCGCGGCTTCGGGGTTGGGAGTTCAGCGTAGCTCAACCCATGCGCAGGCGCGGAGTCGAGGCCTTGGCGGCCTCTGGGGGACTACATAAGCGCCGGGGCGGGGCCCAGACAGATCCCACGCGCAGGCGCAGAAGTGGCGGCCGCGGTTCAGGGACGGGGAAAGTTGCGGGACTGGGGAGAAGCTGGGTGGATCTTTAACCATTTTTAAAAAGTTTCTTTGAACATCCTGACAGGTGTTGACTTTGGGAAACATGACGTTTGTGGGAACAAAGAATTCCCTCGCCACAGGTTTCCACGGTAGCAAGGCCGCTGAAGGAGAAATTGCAAATAACTGGGCAAAATTGCCTTTTCTTTATTTTTCTGTTATTTTCAAGTAACTCATGATTAAATCTCAGTTTAGCCTCCCTTTCCCCCCCCCCCCCCCCGCCTTTTGTTAACATTTAAGGGAACGGGAAGCCTAAGATGACAAGTTTTCTGAAGTATCAGATGTGCTCTGAGCAAAAGCAGGGGAGGGAAATCTTATTTTTAACAGAGAATTAAGCCTCTTACTTTATTAGTACTTGCCCTTTCATGTACAGAAGACAGTGAGCTGGAAGAATTTCTCATGTTGCAAATTCATCTTAAATTGTCCTTGGCACTTTAATGACTTGAATGCAGACACCTGACGTAGAGTTTCCCCCACTCCTAGGTGTTGAGAATGTTGTCCACAGACCGCCAGGATGGCTAAGCCGTGGACAGGAGAGCTCTGCTGGTGCTAGGGGTGTGCAAGCCGGGAAGAGAAGGACTCCGGCACCGGCTGAAGGTGCTCTCTCTTTGAAGAGCAGGAGGGACAGGTTGGTTTTATGCCCCACAGGATCCGTAAGACACAAGGGTCCTAGATACCCCACACACGTCATGGGGAAAAGCTGTACATACATGTGAGGGGAGCCGAGTACATGCTCTGGGTAAACGTGTGTGTGACATACATCCCATAATCACTTTGGCATGGGTTTTTAGCATTAAAATGTGGTGGAATTTGGCTCTTTACGTCAAAAAGTGAGCTATAGGACACAAAGACAGTTTGTGCACATCCTCTACAAGCTAGCTAGCGCTAGTCTGTGGTCTGCAGTAGCTTAGCAGCGAAGAGTGTTTGTAAGGCAGGTTTCCCTGTCCAGTCAGGGTTGCAGAGGTCTGGGTTGCAAATCAGAGTTCATAGCTCCTATTGTTAGGGAGTTTGGCCTGAGCAGTTTGGAAATTTGCCCTGCCAGCCAGGCCCTGAACCTTCCACCCATAGGTAAGTTGGTTTCCTTAATCTTTGGGTCTGTCGTAGTTGATAAAGCGGAGTCTATTTTGGTCTCTCGGATCACAGGGAAAACAGTTTCACATTTAAAAGTTTGTCATTTGACTTGTAGCAGATATTTTTCAAGCACCAGCTGTTTTCCTGCAGCTGAAGATAAAGTGGTAAAAGAGACAGAGCGGAAGCTTCGTGGTGCGCACATTCTGGAGTGGTCCTGTCCGGTGGGAGCCACACGTGTAAGTTCCATGTTTAAGAAGTTAAAAGAAACAGGTGAAATTAATTTAATAATATATTTCATTTAGCTCATCTGAAATATTTTCATTTCAACACATAAAATTATTAATGATCTATTTCAAGTTTTTTCACTTCCGTACTCAACCTTGGAAATCTGGTGTGTGTATTTTATACACACAGCACCTCCAGTTTGGTCTAAATTCACTTCATGTGCTCAGTAGCCACGTTGGGCTGATGGTGATCGAGAGGAGGAGGACGTGGGTAGAAAGAAGCAAAGTGACGGACCAAATAGAGGGAAGGAGGCCGAGAGCACGTTTCAGCGGCTGCCCCGAGTGGGAAAGGTGGAGAGGAGAAGAGATGCTGAGTAAGTATTGTAAGGTTCATCCTTTCACATAAACTCTCTCCCTCACACACAAACTACCTTGTTTTTTAAGGCTTTGCTGAGTGTAACAGTGTCTCTTTGGGACTCTGCCTTAAGGCTGGCTTAAAGTTGACACGGTGGCTTGCCCTGTGTTGACTGTGTAAATGGCAAGATGTTGGAATGGTTGCTTTGCTCGGAAGAAGCTAAGGTACAGAATGGGCCTCGTGAACACCTGGAAATGCCAACGACCAATCAGTGAGCGCATACCTGGTGCCAGGCCCTGCTCAATGCTTGCCTTTAGTTCCTGTCCTCAAGAAGTAACTAATTTTAAGTAAGTACTACTGGAAGCCCCTTTTATAGATGAGGGCACAGCAGGTTATGTTACTGGCCTGAATTTCACAGGTGGTAACTGAGGAAACCAGGGCTTGCTTCTAGACCCTGTAGCCTTTCTACCTCACTGCCCTGCGAGGCCTGGGAGAGTTGGCACAAATCTCTCCAGCTCAGGGGGAGGCTGCAGAGCCCCAGATGGGAGACACCATGAGCTTGTGCCAGGACTGAAGTGGGTGGTGCTGCGGTCAGCCCTCCTGGGCTCTGGCTCTCAGTCCCTCTGTGTCTGGCAGCCACTAACAGTTCAGAACTCCTGTGGCTGCAGTCTGTGACGGAGAGAGGAGTCAGCAGGATTGCCAGGATGATCTTATTCACTCTGGTGACTCAGGCCTTAGGGCTGTGAACACTGTCGTCCACCATCGGGGATAAACCCGAGGCCTGGGGTGATGCTGTGGTCTGAACATTTGTGTCCCCTGAACACTCAGATGTTGATATCCTGGCCCCCCTTTTCCCTGTGGTAGGAGGTGGGGCCTTTGGGAGGTGATAGGTCATGAGGACAGAGCACTAGTGGATGGGATTAGTGTCCTTATAACGGAGGCCTGAAAGACCCCCTCACCCCCTTTGCCATGTGAGGACACAGTGAGGAGACCACCCTCTGTGAACCAGGAGGCAGGCGCTCACCAGACACCAAATCTTCTAGAGCCTCGATCTTGGACTTTCCAGCCTCCAGAACTGTGAGAACTAAATTTCTACTGTGTGGGGGTTATTTGTTTTATGTTGTTATAACAGCCTGAGTGGACTGAGACAGGTGGCCATTGGCGTGGATGTCCAGATGGGGCCTTAAGTGACTTCAGCTCCCTGGTAGGAGGGAGGAGAGTTAAGTCACCGACTTCTGCCATAGCAAGACCTGGGCGGGATTCCAGCCTGTGCCACCTACAAGCTTTGTGACATCGGGCAATGGCTTTATTTCTCTGAGTCTTAATTTCCTGGTCTGCACAATGAAGGTAGTAAAAATTCCTGCTACAGAAGGCTGTTGTAAACATTAAATGAGATAAATGAGACTGCTGGCCGGAGGGACTGCAGAGCACATGAGTGAGTCACTGTGCCATGTCCATCATATTTCTTACGGGGGCAGCGGGGTGGATTATGTTTCTGAAATCGTTGCATGCGTTCTGCTGCAGCTACCTCAGTGCATTATAATACTTTCTTTATGACTTTCATGCTCATTATATATATTTGATACATGATGAGGAATATATGTTAACTATTTAAGTTATGAAATATAAGAAAATGAGTGTGGGGCTTTTGCCTGCCTTCCCTTCACTCTGGGTCCCAGGCTGAGGGATGAACCGTCCCTGGCACAGGGTGGTATAGAGGCGGAGTGGCAGAGAGGACTTGAGGGTGCCGCTGTCTCCAAGCACTCTCTCCAACAAGTGATGTGAGGCTTCTGCTCCCATTTCACAGGCCAAAGGAAGTCATATGGCTGCATCGACCTTCAGGTTGGTTGGTGTCTCAGCTTGGGCCTCTGTAACAAAGTACCACATGCTGGGTGGTTCACACAGCAGATATTTATTTCTTATAGTTCTGGAGGTTGAGAAGTCCAAGATCAAGGTGCGGGCTGATGCAGTCCCAGGTGCAGTCCTGCCTCCTGGCTCGCAGATGGCTGCCTTTGCACTCTGTCCTCACGTGGTGGAGAGGCAGAGTGAGAGGGCAAGCAAGCTGCCTGGTGTCTCTTCTTATAAGGGCACTAATCCCATCATGGGCGTCCCACCTTCATGACCTCATCTAAATCTGATTGCCTCCATAAAATCCCTATCTCCAAACACCATCACACTGGGATTAGGCTCTCATCGTATGCATTTTGGTGAACACAAACATTCAGTCTGTAATAGTGGACTTATGCCCAAAAGGGAAAATGAAATATGTGTGAAAAACCTTGAAGACTATCACACTTGTATGAAACAACTCTACTAGGGGTGGACTGCTGCTTCCCAGAGAAGGCTCTCTCTGTGTCTCGGTAGGCGGGGGTGGTATTGATGACTGATGGCCACCATGGAGGAGCTGCAATGAGTAACTGGGCGGGGGGAGCCGGGGGGGGGGCACATTTCTACAGTTTATTCTCAGGGTCCCGGACCCTGCCACCTGTGTAGCTGCAGTTTGCACATATGATCACGCCAACCCTGTATTCAGTAGAAGACGCTGAAAATAGCCTCCCAAGTGGCGGTCCAGAAAGCCAGCAGCTGCGAGGGGCAGTTAGGCTGCGTGGAGCTTGGGATGGAGAAAGGGATCCAGCCCCTCACATTGGAGAGTGATGGACACAGTTTGGGGACTGTCGCTGCGGAGCTTGAAATACTAATTAGGGAGAGCATCTGGCATCTGTGCGTTACAGAGACAAACCTTTGAGCCGCAGTTGATGAGGGAAGAAAGGAAACGCACCGTCAGCGGAACGGAGCCCTCGCTCATGAAGTGAGTGCAAATGCGATATTATCCCCTTTCATCGTCATCTCATGTCTTACTAATGAGTAATAAAAAATATTCTGATAAACGGGGCCTGGTGTTCTAAAATTGAATGGAAAGAAAAATAGATTGGGAATGTGATAATTTTGGCCGTGGCACCTTAGGAATAAGAGTTTGTCGTGTTGCACCCAAATCTTGAACATCCTATCTGGCCGCTTGAGTTTGAACCTGTCCCAAAACAGGTTCTAAACTGCAGCTGACGTGCGGATGGCTGATTTAAAGGGCCACTTGGATTCCTGCATTGTCAGCTATCACTGATTCAGGTAATTTTATTTGCTATTGAAGTAATGCTATGATTATAAAAGTATATATGTTTATCATAGAGAAATTTGAAACTAAAGAAAAATAAAAATAAGAAATTAAATGTAAAATCTACTCCCAAAAGAAAAACCCATGATTGATATTTTATTTACTCCCAGTGCTTATTTTAGCCATAAAATACAAATGCACATATGTTCGTAATAATGTTCATGAACTTTTAGAATTAGGCTTTATTGCACTTCATTTAAAAGTATTGGATTCTTCTGCTTTTCAAACTGGCTTCTTGTAAGCTTTCCCCTGTGTTATTAAGTATCTGTGGAAAACGCAAGATTTTTAAATGATCTCAAGATGATTAAGATGCAGCTTGTAATTCCTCCTTTTTTGGTATATTTTAATTATTGCTTTTTGGCATTCTTACCACTAATCTTAGAATTATTACACTCAGAATCTCATGAGTCTCCAGGTTGGGTAGAACCCCAGATGTGGCTTTGTGAGTTCTCTGTCCAGCACACCCTCAGCATAAGATCAGGCAGGGTTGGGCTCAAAAATTAGACAACGGCAGCAACAATAATAATAGTGACTAGTATTTCAGCCTGTTACATGTACAAGCTTTGTTCTGAATGCTTGACATGTGATATTTCATCTAATCACAAAGAACCCTGCGAACAGTAAGTATTATTATCCACATTTTAAAAATAATTAATGTAAGGTACAGGGAGTGTTAAGTCATTGTCCATTGTTACACAGCTAACTAGGATCAAGAAAAAAAAGGAGTGTAAACCTAGCTAGCTTGACTGGTTTCAGAAGGAACCCTCCAACTCATAGTCCCTGGGCAGGGTGAGTGACTGTTAAGAAATGGTTAAAGTTTGAATAGCATGCCTATAGTGTTTCTTCAAGAGAACACCCACACAGCCCAGTAGACGTGTTTTGTGTTCGCTTCTATATGAAAGCTACATGGACACCTCTCCAAGCCCTACTGAGCACCATTGGGAGGACTTTGACTTTTCCACCATAACTCCGTGACAAATATGCAGAATAAATTAGCTTACATGGTTAAAAGCAACAGAGACTTCTCCCTGTCTTCTCACAGGGGCCTTCATGCATACATGTGTTCAAATATTGAGCACTCTCTGGTTGGTAGAAGAACAGCCCATGATGCCCTGGAGACCTCGTACATGTCTGCATCTTGCACATGGTCTCTGTGGGCAAAGCTGGAACCACAGTGAAGCTGAGTCTTGGCAGAATGACTCATCCTTCTGCTCAGAGACCCTCTTCCACTTTCGTCTCCATCTCCCCTGAGAAGCTTTCATGAGGGAGTTATTCATCATCTCCTGGTTTCTGATAAGGTACGAGGCTTTTTGTTCCCTGTCCCACCCAGGATAGATGACGTGATAAGACCATAAAACCCCTCAGCCACCATCGTGACCTGGCTCTTCAGCACTGCAGTTTTGGTGTCCATTTTGGTGTATGTGACAAGAACCATAGGGAACTGGAACCTTTGGCTAGTCTTTCACTATGTAAGAAATAAACTGTCTGCATGTAAGAGTGGTGTGTTATAGCTTTACTGCTCAAAGCAGCCTCGTCTTGTATGTGCTTAACACCATTTTCTTCGCAGGTGCAGAAGCAACCCACTGAATGAAGCAGACGTGTGTGTGTGTGTGTGTGTGTGTGTGTGTGCACACAATTATAAATTGCCATAAAATAAAGTAACTGGATTCCATGCAACTGAAAACTTAATCTGAAGCCTTAATTTGAATTATTTGGAATAAATGAGGAAAGAGACAGCACAGTTTTCCCTACTCTTCCTGAGTATTTACCATTTAAGCTACACCCATACCTGGAGTGTGGGAAACTGTAAAACTCTTCCTGTTAACACTGGTCACTCCCAGTACCCACTGCGGTTTGCAAACCGACTTTGCCGCTAGAGTACAGGGGGAGAAACAAGGCTCCCTGGAGTACTGAAGATCTTGAATCAGCAGTCAGGCTCCTCCGTGAGTGATAATTAAGATCTGAAAAAGTCTTCTTCATCTTATGGACTGAACTATGGAGCTGTTTGGGACAGAGTTTATCTTACACATGACACAGGATAGCAGAGGAACCAAAAGGGAGGTGAGGAAAGCCCAGATACACTAATGAGATACTAATTATTGGAGTAAAACATAAGACAAGGGGAGGTCAGGAAGGACCATCATTTAATTGACTTTCTTCTGGGAAATTCAGGAAGGAGTCAGAGACACCAACTTTCAGCTTTCAGTTGGAGCAGCCATTAAAGGCTCATTAGAAGCAAAGCTCCAGGAAACAGGCATAAAAGCAAGCTATTAGAAGGGGGAATAAAGTCGATCTATTGCATTCTCTGAAACCATTCTCTCATGTATGTTTTCTTGCTTTACTCTGCTCAGAATAACTCACGCAATAGGGTAACATGAAGCCAAACAAGAAAACCTGGAAGACCAGAAAGAAGTGGAATCTCTACTGGGCAGAATTAAGAAAGTTTCTTTCCAAACTTTGAGACTGTTCTACTTGAGCAATTAGAGTGTATTGTGATAAGACCCAAAGCTTCTGAGAGTGTGTAACAGGGAATTTGTACTCACCTAATAGCTCATGGCCTCCCCTAAGTTTCCCAGATTTCCTTGCAGTTATGTTGAGGTCATGTGACTACTTCTGGCCAATGAGCTGCAAATGCAAGCGCTGTGTGTCACTTCCATGTTGGAGTAGATAAGAGGTGTTGTGCCTTCTCCTTATGTTCCTCATCCTACTTCAGTGATCTTTGAGGCTACATCTTCTGGATGGTGCAGCTGTAAGACACGAGAGAGCTGACCAACCCACATCCTGCTTACCTAAATTAAAAAAAAAACAAAACGTATTAAGCTTCTGAGATTTTTGGATTTGTCTCTGTTGTAAGATATCCTGATAAATACAGACCACCCCTTCTCAATACTTTCCCCCAGACTTCTTCCAGCCAATGCAGGCATGACAACTTTCAGTTAGAAGCATTCTGTGACAGAATTTCTGGGCTGCTGGAGCCAGAAGAAGCTGTGGACATAAAAGGACTGTAAGTTTCCAGACTCTAAAAAGTCTTTGCACCTTCTGAGTGGCATTACTCGCACTCGCAGCTTCAAGAGGAAATGCAGTCCTACGGTTAGTGGTGATGAATTATGTTGACATGGGAAAGGAAGATTTCATTAATCATAGGATACATTTTCTAATGGTGACTGTACTGTGAATTGAACTGGAGCCAGAATTCTGATAGTCTATCTTAAATTAAGAATACCAAGTCTTTGGTGTTCTACTGCATAGAAATGTAGTAAATTAAAAAATATATATATTAGAACCAAAATAAATTTTAGAAACAGTCTGTTAAAATATTCCAATTTAGTTCACATATGGAATGTTGGCTACTAAGTTCCTGGCTTTTTGCTGTTTACTGGGAAGTCAGAGGTATTGGATTCAATCCCTCCTGTGTTCTGGGCTGGGCATCTGGGGCGGTCTTTCTCCTGGTGGCTTGCACGAGTGAGTGTGGGTTGCTGGAAGCTATGACAACAGCTACCTCAATATCTCTGTCTGATCCTTGGGGTTGCCTGAGGACAAAGCCTTCTAGAAGAATGAAGTGAGAGATGAAGAGGTAAATGATGATGCTTGAACAGGTGGACATATCACAACAGATAATGCAACACTGAGGAACATGTGTTACGCTGTGTGGTTGAGGAGCAGCCTTATTTAAGGAGAGGAGGAGACTTATTTAATGTCATATAATTGCCTGGACCAGAAATAGACATGCGGTATATTTCTTCCTTTTGATACCTTCCCTCCTATTTATTTTTTTTTAACCTTCATAGACTACCACCTTTCTTCTCTTTTATGCCTTTATTGATCTACTTCTATAGAAAATCCAAATACTATTCTTCTCATTCAATGAAAACAGAAAATTATAAAAATTATGAAGGGCAATAAATAATAGGTTGAAAGTGAAAAGACTTTCCTGATTATAGAAGGCAAGCTGGCTTGAGAAACTAATAACATGTCCCTTACCAGAGAGAACATTTTCAGAGTGGTTGAGTGAATTTTGAAAAGAAGGGCTGTGTACATCAGCAATTCAGTCCAGATTAGATTTGGTTTTCTAAATACAATTTTCAGCTTAGAATCATTATGAGCTGAGGCTTTCCCCTTTCTCAGTGAAATACTGACCACTGCCAATCTTTTGTAGATAATTTGTATGTTATAAAGGAGACTACAGCCAGATCCAAATGTATTTGTATACTCTGAAATCCACAACCCAGCACCTACATTGAGTTATTACTTGAGGAGGCATAGCACATGGAAAAAAAAAACAAAAACAGCCAAGGAATAACAGGTGCTCCTGAGTTTAGGATGATGCAGAGAGCTTCCTCACAGACTCATGGGACAACAGAGAACCATGGATCTTACCTGTAAGGAGACTGATTCAATAGTCATATATTGTAATGTTGGAGACCTACCCTAGCCTTTGGAGTGAGAGTTTTGTGTTTGTCCTCATATTGCCAATTTCTGTCTTGGCAACCTTGGGCCTTTTCCTTGATATCTTGAACAGAAAGTACAGAGTTGTCCCCTATAGTCCCACAAAGGCACAGAATTCCCCACGGGAGTGGTAGGTGTGTTACAAGCGTTGAAACCATATTGACACATCATCATCCCCCAAAGTCCATAGTTTGCATTAGGATTCACTCCTCGTGTTGTACATTCTATGGGTTTTGCCAGTGTATAATGACATGTATCCACCATTGTGGTATCATACAGAATATGATATGGTGTGATATTATACATACAGTGTATGTATGGTGTACACTACTATAGTTTCACTGCCCTGAAAATCCTCAGTGCTAAACCTGTTCATTCCTCCCTACCCCAAGCCTCTGGAAATCACTGATCCTTTTACCAGTGTCTCCATAGTTACGCCATATAGTTGAAGTCATACGTATCAGTATCATCAAACCAGTGCACGGCATTTTCAGATTGGCTTCTTTTCACTTAGTGATGTGCATTCAAGTTTCCTCCACATCTTTTTATGGCTTTATAGCTGATTTCTTTTTATCACTGAATAATATTCCATTGTCTGGATACAATATTGCGTATTTATCGATTCACCTACTGAAGGATGTTTGCTTTCGAGTTCTGGTAATTATGAATACAAAGCTTGTATAAACGTCTGTGTACAGGTTTTTTGTGGCCATAAGTTTTCAGCTCAGGTGGGTGAATACTGAGGAACATGGTTGCTGGATTGTATAGTGAGACTATGTTTATTTTTATAGGAAATTGTCAAACTGTCTTAAAGCAACGACACCATTTTTTTTTAGTCACCAGAAATGGATAAGAGTTTCTGTTGCTCCACATGCTCACCAGCGTTTGGTGTTGTTAGTGTTACGGATTTTGGCCATTCTAATTAGTGTATACTGATATGCCATTGATATTTCAATTTGAAATTTCCTATCGGCATATGATGTGGAACATATTTTCATATGCTTATTCTCTACTCATTTATGTTCTTTGACGAAGTGTCTGTTCAGATGTTTTGCCCATTTTTAAATAATAGGGTTGTTCCTTTTCTTGTTGTTGAGCTCTTATATATTTTGGATAACAGTACTTTATTAGATATAGCCTTTGCAAATATTTCCTCTGAGCCTATGGCTTGTATTCTCATTTTATTGACAGTGCCCTTTGCAGAGCAGAGGTTTTTAATTTTAGTTAAGTCCAGCTTAGCGATTATTTCTTTCATAGATTATGCCTATGGTGTTGTATCTAAAAAATGATCACCATGCTCAAAGTAATCTAGATTTTTTCCCTATGTTATCTTCTAGGAGTTTCATATTTTACATTTAGGTTTATAATCCATCTTGAGTTAATTTTTATGAAAAATGTTAAGTCTGTGTATAGATTTTTCTTTTCATGTGGATGTCCTGTTGTTCCAGCACCATTTGTTGAAAAGACTTTCTTTCCCCCATCATATTGCCTTTGCTTTTTTGTCAAAGATTTGTTGACCATATTTATGTGAGTCTATATCTGTGCTCTGTAATCCACTCCAGTGATTGATTTGTCTGTTTTTTTGTTTGTTTGTTTGTTTGTTTGTTTGTTTCCCACTAGTGCCTTCCTGTTTTGATTACTGTAGCTTTATAGTAAGTCCGGAAGTTAGATCATACCAGTCCTCTGACTTTGATCTCCTTTATGTTATATTGTCTATTCTGGAACTTCTGCCTCTCTATAAAAACTTTAGAATTAGTTTGTTAATGTTTTCAAAATAACTTGTTGGGATTTTTATTTGGACTGGGTTAAATCTAGAGGTCAAATTGAAAATAACCAACATCTTGACAATATGGAATCTTTCTTCCATGAAAATGAGATAGCTCTCCATTTATTCAGTTACTTGGTTGCTTTTATCAGAGTTTTATAGTTTTCTTCCTCTAAATCTCATACACACTTTGTTAGATTTATAGCTAAGTATTTCATTTTGGTGGTTGCAAATGTAAATGGGATTGTGTTTTTAATTCAAATTCCACTTTCCATTGCTGGTATATTGGAAAGTGATTGACTTTTATGTATTAACATTGTATTCAGAAATTGTTGAATGGTAAAAACCTTTCCTTGGTTACACAGCTAAGGTGTGGTGGTGGTAGAA